TAAGAAACAAAAACTTGAAGTTGAAAGGATACAAAGTTTACTAGCAGTATTAATATTACTGTACAACATGTACCACACTTATTATCACTATTATTGTACATGTACTACACTTATTATGACTATTACTGTACAACATGTACCACACTTATTATGACTTATGAAATACTGAAGTTTTATATGTTTTCCGTGAACTGTTCATTTTACCATTTCTAAACATTTTTCTGTGTAAAGAATTTTGTATATAACAGTAACTATAAATGAGATACACAAAATAAACTGATTACAAGCACTCAGATGTTTTGCAATCATAGCTTTGTTCACACTTAATGTTGAATTAACTCAACTTTTATACAATCAGTCCAACAGAGTATTAATGGAAACAACCTGCACTTTATGCAATACGAGAGCAAATTTAAAAAATAAAACTTCCAAAGGAACCATAAATTGAGCATCGCTGGACACATACTGTAAGACCTTTTAAATGTTACAAATGCATGTAATCTTGTACACATGAAAACCAAAAAAATATTTTTTTACGTACCATTCTCTATTTGGAAACCTGGAAATAATTTCATTCAATATTGGCTGAAAACAAGTTGTTCTTTCCTGTTCCCCTTCTTCACTCCACTCTCTAACAACCTGTTTTAGTAGACTTTGAACTTTGTCCATGTCTGATAATGTAGCTTGGACCTGTGGTGACATCTTCTGAAGAAGCCCAGAGAAAACTAGTTTTAGAATTAACAAAACGTTTTCATTACCTTTAATTTACGAATGTGTATTTAAGTTCACAAACTATTTTTAAGACAGACTACAAGTACACCTAAACTGTGCATCTGCATTATATTAAAATATGTACAAGACTTTCTTGGAAACAAAAATACTGACATTTTCTCACCTGAAAATTTATTTCAGATAAATACTCACCTCAACACAGAACTTACAGTTATTTACCTTACACCATTCCAAAAAAGAATCATGTACCTTAGGCATTAGGCTATAACTCTCATCAATAAGAGGGCAACGTATCATCCATGTACAACACTCAATCTTGTGCACATTGTGTGTGCCAAAGTATTGTTTCCTATAAGATAAAAAAACACACTGGAAGTGGGGAAGAATGGTGGTTGGTACTATGGAGAGGTGAGTAGTTAACTGAAATACTAAGATGGTGGAGTGACTGGTATAAATACATTAAATTAAAATAATGAGCTCCTTTCAGAGAATAATGTGAAAGAAAGGGAAGACTCATGAATCATATTGCCCACTAGGGAGGGCCATATTGGTTTATCACTTGGTGAGAGACTGCATTGAATACCAAGAGAGGTGGTAGAGTCAAAAGAACCTCCTGTGTGGTGCTCAAGTGTCTAAGGTGGAATGTAAAGACTGCTCAACTAGCCTGTATATCTCAGGGAGTTACCATAGCATGTATATGTAATGTGTCTAGGGATATATAAGTAAAATCATACAGAAAGTGAGAAATAATTACCAGAATAGGTAGATGCATGGATGAGTCATCCCAGGACTGTATCCCAAGGAAAATACAAAAACCAACTGGCTGACATAACCACCGGGAGCAGTCCTTTTCTTAGTGTTTAGGATGTCCCGTGCTACATACCAGTGGGATAACAATGACCCAAAGAGAAACTTTCAATACTGATCTCCAAAGAAGCTTGGGACTGGAGAAACAAGTGTTCTCCTGCTCTACTCAAGCAATGGAAAGGAGAAAGTCACATATGTGAGAACACTATAGGGGTGCACAAACCAAACAGGAATTATCTCATCTGCATAAGGTCTAATAGACTGTACCACGGGTTAGCACGAATAGAAACAGCAGGTATTAGCCAGGTGAAGGGGCAGGATCACATCTGGTGCTGTAATTTTTAATACCCCAGAAGTAAATCCTGGAAATTAAAATTTATATATTGCTAAAGCACTCATGTTGAAAAACCCCTTCTCAACAGTGGGCAGTGAGAAAGGGTAAATGGGCTTAACATTATTTGTTATCCCTAACTCATTTCTGGAAGGGGAGGATTAGTGGTAGCTGCATAAAAAGAAATAATTAGCAATTCACCTCCTTGGAGATTCTGTGAAGATTAGAGAATATTGACACAATAGAGAAAAAAACAGATAGAGAGGAAACTGCAATACGGTGTAAGTAATGTGACACAAACATTTCAAAGATCATCTATATTCCCACCTAGAAGATCACATCTAAGGGACTTCAATGGCTAGTAGCAAAAGAAGCCATGAGATAATGAAATTGATAGAAGGAGACGTGTAAAAGATAAAAGGTGTCATCACCCACAGATGCTTAAACTATCTGGATGTTTTGTTTAACTCAACTGGTCAAATTGAAAGAAGATAAGTCAGGAAGAGGAATATTGTTGTATTCAAATAACCGTCTCCTTTTCCTCAAAGTCCACAAAGGCAGATTCAATCACTTTAGAACTTTCTTCGACAAGACAAATTATTTCCCTCTATCTCTGTTATTATAATACAAGCTGTAAAACTCATTTAAAAATTGCTTGTTACGGCTAAACTGACAATCACGCAGTCTAACTTCACTTTTACTTTCACTCACTTAACTTACTTCCTCTCTGTATCTGCATGTATTTATAACACGAGACATAAAAATCAAGAAATATTTAGTCCTCTCGTAACAACAATATTACACATAACAAGAAAAACTTAGAAGCTTCAAGTAAGATGACATCAACAATATTACAAAAGCCTAGTACAACAATTAAACCACATACGTCAATGTACGGCTCATACAGAGTTATGTAACAACACTTGTCATAACTATAGCTTTTAAAATAATTGACTTTTAACACTGATTACGAAAACTAAATAAATATTAAATATTTAATCATTAAATAATAATTCTTAAACTGAACAGTCTTCTATATTCAACAACTTGCAAAGTGGGAACAAATTCACTGAAACACCAGATGATGTACAGACCAAAGATGTGGAAAGTATCCAGTCTAGTCAAGATAGCTGATCTGCCACCTAGGTCAAAGCTACCAGGATATCACAGACCATCAACGTAATGTGGCGGTCCTGGGCCCAAATGAGAAAGTCAAGAGTATACTTGGTCAGGTAACACTTGCCACAGAGTAGGATCCAAACATGCAATAAAGGCCCCTGTAAAGGAGAAAAATGAGCACAGGACTTACCACTCATAGAGAAACAAAGGAGCACAAAATGGTGACCGAAGATAAGTGGAAACCCACAGAGCAGGAAACAACCACATGATGGAGGTAGTGAGACATAAAAGTATGTGGAGTGGTCCACATACCAACACTGATGATGTCCTCCAAGGGAAGACTGAAGTATGCAGCCAGAGGCATGATCAGGCGATGGATCTGATAGGAAGAAACACAAAAAAGGTGACAATGATCTGGAAAAAGGGAAGAATATTCCAAATGAATTAACTGATGAACCCAACCCATAAGGGTATTGGGAAAAAGGGTCACAGGACAGGTTAGGATTCAAGAGAATAAACAAATGGACACAGAAACCACAGAAGGGAGTAATGTGTCTGACCGAGCAAAGGAGGTGCATGGGATTGGAATGGTCATAAAGGTGAGATATGTAAGGAAGGGAAATTGGGTGAAAATAGAATTATCCTCTCGAACAGCTGAAGTTTTGGACATAAAGGAATGTTCAGGAAAAAGGAGAACATAGGAACTATGAAACATCAGAATGACAACAACCACATGCCAACATAGTCAGAATCAGGGACTTCAAGGAAAGGTGATAAACACTAAGACAGAGTTCCAAACTGACAATGGGTAAGAGCATGGAGGTCCACACTGAGGTTCCAATCAGGGAGGGAATCAGGGTGAGGAGGCGACTGGAACACAGAAATAAATTCAGTTAACCAAAAAGTGGCAGACAACGCCACCTTATAGCCTGCAACAGAGGAAACCAAGAGGCTCCTGTCAAAAATGACATTATGTGAGGAACAGTAGGATGAGAAAGATGTACCTCTGTGGAGAGACCAACAGTGGAACATATATCACTTATGCTGGTAAACTGCCATGGAGGAAGAATGAACTGGATGGGAAACTAAAAAAGCTAGATGCTGGGAAAGTCTGGCCCTTCTGATGAGGAACTGGACAAATATAGTGCCACCAGCAGAACACGACATGGAGTGGTTGAAGTATAATAAGGACACATAGGAGAAGACAAATAGGAAAATATGCATAGAGGTACCAACCTATCTAATCTAGACTGAGAGCATTGACTGCTCCTGCCAACTAATAAGGAAAAGGAGACCAAAAATGGGGAAGTTGTGTATTCAGGTGAGTGACAAAAGTGTCCAAATCGGAGACACCCCAATGAGCACAGAATTTCCCCCAAAAAGTGAGTATCCTACATCTACTCTGTCAGAAAAATATTGTTGGGATGAGATAACCAATCTCTGACCAGATTCAGGGCACCCCAAATATGACATACCAACAAAGTGAAGTGATGGCTGTGGGCCCAATACAGAAAATCCAATGTTGGAAAACAAAGGTCTCTTGACTAAGTGCCCTCTTTCCTGATAACGTATGATACTACTGTAGAATTGTCAGAGTGGACCATCATTAGTTGGCCCGAAGAGTCAACAAAAAGTGAAGTACTGGCTGACAAACAGCAAGAACTTTCAAGATACTGAGATGGAGAGAGGGCTTGGAAAGAGTCCATCACTCCAAAACCTCCTGAGTGTCCAGATATGCTCCCCATCCAGAAACAGAAGTATCCGTAAAACGATTACAATCTGGATAAGGAGGAGGAAGAGGAACACCCACGGTAGTATTGTTCTGATCCAACCAACAGTCAAAGTCATTTTGTAAAAGAGGGGGAAGGATAAGAGGTGCATCTAAGGTATCCTGAACGAGGCTCCATTGGTCGATCAAAACCCACTGAAGAAGACGCAAGTGGTTGCAACCAAGAGGAAAGAGAGCTTCGAGAGAAGCCTTTGTTCCCAAAAGAGATAGAACCTCTCATGCAGTAGGAGAAGGAGAGTATAAGATGGTGCATACGAGATATTCCATAGTTCTCAATCAAAGTCCCAAATTGCCTCTGACAGATGCTGGCAAGAAACGAAATGATGAGACAATAGGGAAGACAACTGGAAGTGGAGGACTGTAAACATTAGATGTCCAAGAAGCTCAAACTGGCAAGGTGCTGCAAGGAGGCAAGGCACTGAGACAGGAACAGGTTGGCAAGATAAATGAGAAGCCAGTGAGGAGAGGGAGTTATGTAGATGGGTTGATTCAACTCTGGTCTCTAATGAGTTGGGAAGACTACCAAATGCCTCTGGATGTAAAAAGGGTACCATGTACAAGTCATGCAATGAAGTGGAAGGTAAGCTAATCCCAAATAAAATGGTGTTCCAACCAAGAAGATCCCAACAGCAGAGCAGCCACATCTGAAAAGCCAGGGCCAACGAGGAAAGGTGTGTCACTGTCGCAAAAAGGAGACTCCAACTATCATCAGAAAACCCTCCTCAGGGGAATGATGAACAACCTCAGCCAAAAGGTGAAGGGAAGATAAGGAAGGGAGAATGGTAGTCAGAGTAAGATGAATATGGGGAAACTGTTGTTAAGAAAAAAATAACCGAATTATCAGGTTCCAATCCCCACAAGTGGATAAGAGACTCTTAACATTGTGAGTCAAATAGGGGAAGTTTGACCAATGATAAGCAAAAGCAC